CTAGTGTTGATATTGAATTTATATGTAGCCAGATAAGTTTCCTTATTGAAATTACATATGGTTATTAGCAATACTCTGTAGGTGCTAAATAATAAAATATTTAGAGTATATATGAGAGAAATTGGTCATTTCGAACCTGTTGAAAAGTTTGTGGCTCTCGGCTACACCGGGGAATTTACTTCCATGAGTACACACATAAATGTGGGGTTCCCCAAGAGGTACGCGACAAGGTGACCTGGCATCAAATGTGCGACTAAATGCTACTATCGAGAAGATAAAATAACGAATACGACAATAAGTTATTGCATGTGACAATTCCGAGCCTTCATCTCACTGAAGTATTTTGAAGTGAAAATAGGATTTTTGTTTTGATACATGGATTCAGATGAACGTAACTTTATTCTGACAACTAATCAAAACTGAACAAAATTGATTGTACGTAACAGACAATTTATTGTTTTACAATGTTTTGATTGGCTAAACGAATGAAACCAACAAATTATGACATGTAAAATGACAATTTTGAAATGTAAAATTTAAAAGTGACAAACACAACCTCCCTATCCACTCTTTGGGACCCCTTGTAAATTAGTAATATGTACATGTAGCAGTGGTAGTGTACAGCTTATTATCACACTACGCTTTGTATTCTAAAGCCTGTTGTTTGTAATAACACTGTTCACTCAACGTATGTTTTGTGTGTGGGCAGTCAACGATAATCATTGTTTTATCCCGGTTATATGACCTCGGCAATTATAACAAAACCGCACTAAACGAAAAAACGCAAATAAGAGAAAGCTTTCACACACATATAAAAAATGAACTAGTCTAATCCGCCAGTATAAACTCTGTGCTATACGTAGCCGGATCAGGCGCACACTTTAAGAGATTTTTCTACAGTGATGCTTGATCAAAATATGAAAATTTGAAAATGAATTCCACAGATCATCAAAAGCAAGGCTTTTTGGCCAGAGTTCAACTCAGTTCATAACACGAAAAAGTTTCACACCAACTGTTAAAATTATGAGAAAGCTGCTAGTAAAGGCTTAAGAAGATCTGGAGATATTTCATCAATGATGCTAGATCAAAATATGAAAATGAATTCCACAGATCAACTTGCTTTTATAAATGTCACTACATGAAAAAGTTTCACACCAACCGTTGAAATTATGTGAAAGCATACTCTGATGCTTTCGCTTGAAAGATTAAGTGTAGCTAAATTAAACTGGCTCTCTCTAAAGCTGGCCAGATATAAGTATTAGCAGTATTACCAGGAGCTTTTCTTGCATCAAAATGAGAAAAATATGCCCAATAAACAATAACAATTTCAGTTGATCAAAATAATAAAGACAATACAGAGAAAGAAATGTCATGTCACCCTACACTTGAAGGAAATCACGGACCTCTGCCAGATTACCTGCTCTGTGTCTATGCTCAATAAATATTTTTTATCCTTTGAGCCTACTACCAATAGGAGCTGGATCTGGCTCTGGATATGTGGTTTAAACTGTCACTCGGTAGTTTTTCAAAATGAAATTCCCAATAAAATTTCCCCGCTCGTCACCCTTATTTCCTGATTTTTGGAAATATGTTTGAGAAACGATAAGTCAATGAGGCAAATTAGAAGTCGGTGTCAAATTACTACACAAGTTGATTTTGAACTGTGAAATGCAGACATGACAGCAATCTTAGTTCAACTAGGCTAAATCATCCTGATGAAAAGTCAAAGAAAGAAAACTTGGTGAGCCTTAGTTATCGCAGTCCACAAGTTGTAGACCGTAATAATGCCTTGGCCCAGAGACATGAAAAACAGTTTTTCAGGTCTCTGCTTGGCCCTTGGTCTAGATCGGGATTCATAAAAGTCTTAAGTTGATCAAGAATAAGGGTAATATCCCAGGGTAATATCCCAGGGTAATATCGACCATCTAGTTAGGCTATAGCCTACCCTAAAAGCACAATAATTCAGATTGGAATGGCAAAACTGGTCATTCAAAATTCAACTTACAAAATTGGAAGCCATCTTCTTGGAATAATTTTAGTGAACTTTTACGACTTGTTCCTTCACTTTTATCGATAGCACCTGTTATATACTTACTTCAATGTTATCTGTTTGTTCCCATATACTTTATACACCAGACAGCAATACCTTAGGGTCCAATTTATTGTTACTGTCGTCATATTCGGGCATATTCGACAGCAATTTGAAAACTTCCACTTCAAACTTCTAAACCGGAATTTACGTCATGAGGTCATGACTCGCCAAAAATACGATTTAGGGTGAAAAATGAGAGTGCACTTTCGATATCATTTTCTCCATGAACTACAGGTAGGTTAAAAAAGTTAAGCTGACAAAAAGATCAGAAATATCCAAAATAATCGAGAACACCTGAAGGTTAGTGCTGAAAACCCTGAAGACAAATTTCTGCCAACTTTTTAGCGGAAAATTTTTTTTTTTGGAAAATTCTTCCAAAAATATTCAAGTCGGGCCTACACCAAATACACTATTTTATCCCTTATGAAACATAACGATGGCTTTATATATCGCAACTCTCGTATCTGGCATCCTAAAAATTCAAACAGAATCAAAATTGATAATTTATGGGTTGAGTTATGGCCTCTTGATTTGAGGTGTCGTATTTTTCTACGAACTCGTGTACCGAGAAATCGGGACTATATCACGCCACGGCGGAGATAGAAATGTCGCTAACCGAAGCACAATTTGCCCTTTGGATCTCCTGCTGTATTGAGCTACTGATCCTACTACAAAAGAATCTGGCTGGGATCTATGGGTATGAGTACCGTAATCCAACACCAAATTCGGAAATTCATATCAATACTTTGCACATATGGCGTTCGTGATCAACTTTAAAACGCTTACCCCCCATAGTGTTATATATCAAAATGTACCTGTTCATATAGTATGTATCCAACAGACTGACTAGAAGTCAGTCTGTTATGATGTACTACTTTCCTGTGGAAATTGCAGTGAAATTTTTTGCACAAAATTATCAATTAGTGGAACCATTTATTCAATAAAATAAGCATTACAAAATTTCAATGAATTAGTAAGGTACAATTAAATGCAATAAAAAGAAACACAGCATATTGTCAAGTGGAAATAAAGCTAGTTGAAGTAACAAATGTGCAAATTAATTTTACCCAATCGGCCATTTTGAATAGCACTTCCTATGTAAACAAATATTTAAAATTACCAAACTTTAACATAGGTGCCTTATAGTCTGAATATAATTCAGACTAAATAGGATATAGTCTACCTGTTCATATAGAGGTACGATTGATCTACATCAAATTATAGGGAGTCAGGTTACTTTTTGAGATATCAGCGTCCATTTATTGTAACTCGCGTTTGCTACCATTTCCTCAATTCTGAGATGATGGGCAAACGCGTAGTAAACATGCTCACCTCGGAACTATTTTTGACCTACATCGCTATTTTCGTAATTCAAATGAAAGTTGAACTCCTCAGTCCTCCTCTTTATTTTGATACCAAATATTGGCATTTAACTTATTTCAACCGTCAAATTCCTCCATTATTGGTGCTTCTTGGCCACTTCCGGGTCAGTCAAACGGGGAATCCCCTTTTAAATCCAACTGCCATCTTGGAAAGTGATGGAATATCTCTCGATGAAAAAGAAAAATGTTCCTGTTCTGCCGATATACCCAGACAATTGTGGATTCAACTACACGAAAAGAATGCTAAAATACCCAGGAATCTATTGAAGTAGATATCTTAAGTGTAAGGGGCGTTGATAATTCTCCCAAGTTGTAATCGTACAGGTAAAAGAAGTGCTCGATGCAGGACTATAGTCCTGGCACGGGATAACCCTATGGTTCATGGTAATCAAGATTTACTGAAACATCTTCTTTCAAATAAAAATTGTGTAAAACTTACAGCAAAATTTATAATGTCAGCACTTGAAAAACGACAAAAAATTATATAAATAACACACTGTAATTATATGTATTTGTATAGTGCCTCATAAGTGTGTGGCACTTAAATAAATAAATAAATAAATAAATAATATGTCAGCACTAATTTTTTACCATATTTGAGGTAAAAAATGGTAAAAATAGGTCATTTTTCAACTTGCTTCAATTTGACAAAACTATTCTTTCAAAATCATCTACAATTTCTCAAGAGTTCAAATCTGACCTTAGATTTGATATTTGACCTTAGGTAACCTTCAAAAGGTCAAAAAAGCTACTGTAAAACATGTTAAATTCGAGAGAATCTTGAATTTGCGTATATTCGCTTGAGTGTAAAATCGTAAATTCAGGATCCCGCAAATTTGAAATTGGACATAACATTTTTTACTGAGTAACGTGAATGAAGAATAAAATATACTAGTATACAGTATTTCTAAATGTGTTTGTTCATCTTATTCGAGTGCTGTATGCAATTATAAAACAAACGTGAAGACAAACTTAGAAGTCATGTGAGAATATATTTGTTTATTTCAATGCTGCATGCTATGTTTTAAACAATAAAACATATATATTATGAATTGTTAGTTAAAAACAGCGTTTAAGTAAATGTAAAATGTTCCTCTGATTCCTCCATTCAAACATCTCCATCAACAGGTATTAACTCATGACAAAAAAGTTTGTAAGTTTATTTCTTTGTACATGTAGTTTATCATTCGCGTATTGTGGTGGTAAATCGCGAAAACATGAATACGTGAAAAGAATGAAATGTACAAATCCGCGAAAATTGCTCCCGCGAAATTAAAGTGTTTTACAGTATTTTTAAAATTGATTTTTTGGACAGGTGAAAAGCCCAATTGATCTAGAACTGATTAGTTTTTCAGCATTATGGAGCATCTGTAAGACTATTTGCTAATGACTATGTTCTGTATAATCATCAGCAAACAGTCATCAGCAAACATATAAGAAGTATCTTATATACTAGTAGACAATTATATCTCAAAAAGTAGTAGTATGATTGACCACACACTCACATAAGTAACTTAATGATTTCAGCCTTTGACTGGTCGGGAAATGCCTCCAAAGAAACATCACAAACCTAACAATGAACGGAAAAGACATTGGAACAGGAAAGGGAGAAGAAAATATTCTTATTATGATAATGGCCCAAGCAATCAAGAATCTGAGGCCACCATAAATGGAGCTTCAGCGAGTAACAGCCAAGATACAGATGAATATGGTATGGGCCAGTTTGTTAATCCTAACAAGTCAATGTGATTCTCATAACATTAACCACCCCCCTCCCCTTGAATTTGAAAAGAATGAAACTTGTAATATAAACACTGGTACCACACGAAAGATCATTCAAAGCACTCTTCAGAGGTTGATTGACATATACAAAAAGTAGGTCAAATTAGGTTAAAAGTAGGTCAAACTGACCAAGATACCTTTTCAATTTACCGGTATGTTACATGTAATTCAAACAAAATTCATGGATTATAAATTAAAAATCAAAAATGCCTTATTTTATGAAAATCAACTACTGAGATTTGATGTGAATGACAATGGCATACAAATACATTCTGACTACAGTATACTATAACTCTAGTTGTATTTTGTAGAAATCCCAGGGTTCTACTATGACAAGGAAAAGAAACGCTACTTCAAGATTCTGCCAGGACATAATCAGAACAAGAGTGCAATCACTAAAGAAACAATTAAAGCAAAGGAAAATGAATTAAAAAGACAAAATGACTTGAAAACTTCAACAACTGCTGCTGTATCTGGCATTAATAATCAGCATGGTCTATGTAAAAATAGAAAGTTAAATGTGTTGAGTTGTTTAGCCTGCAGAAGAATGAATGCACATGCAAAACCCTTGGATTATGAAAGGGATATTTTAAAACTAAAAATCAAGAAACTGCATTCTGTATGTAAGACAAAAACTGTTCAGTGTGACTTTGGCCCAGATAGATATGAGCATATACATTTAATGGCTCCAAATGCGATATATGATAAACTGTTATGTTTGTGGTCTTATAAAGGTAGCCTTGTGCAGAAACTACAAGTTTGTAGAGTTAAAAATAAATCTGTGACATCATTGCATCAACCAAAGCAAAGTGTACAAGACTTTGATGTCCAAATATCTCAATCAATGCATAAAATCACTCATGCATGTTGGGCTACGATGAATTCCTCAGGAAGTACTGACTATGAATATGTTCTCTACACAGCAATGCAACGCCATCTATCTCTGGATAATAGAGGTAGAAATGATAACTCGGTGGCAATATTACAAGGTATATCAACAAGAGAGGATGGAAGTCTAACATTAACATTAGATCACCTTGACGACCAGCTTCAGACATCATTTAATTTAAGCAAAAATGTTCCATGGACATGTTGTTGGAACCAACAAAAGAAAATGATTGGGATTGGGTCAGAGAAATGTGCTTTATTATTAGATGTACCAACTAGGAGAATGTGGGAGCTTGATTCCGGGAATAGTGATGTGTTATCGCAATCCTTTGCTGATCAGGTAAGGGTTGTGTCCAAATGGGCAGTAGTAGAAAATCAAATTTGATTTTATTAAATAAATACAGCTTGATCAGAAACAGAGTTGAGAAATAAGATTAAGCTTCTCTAGGGTTGAGTTTCATTGAAAATGCTAGCCTATCCTCAACAATCCTACCAAAACAAGACAATTCTTCTGATATTTAAATCAAACGCATAAAGTAGTGAATACATGTAATGGGCCTTTGTAGTGTACATGTATAGATGTATGACTCCTGTATGAATAAAAATCAGGTGGTTATGCAGTACACAATTCATATGTATTTTATGGAATTTGATTTTAGATGCCCCATATATTGTATAATGGCACACGTAGAGGTCAGATTATATCAAACGACATAAGAAACAAAACAAGGTCCTATACACTTCCACAAAAATCAAGTGTTTGCTCAATTAAACTGCCAAATGACAACAATTACATCATTTCCAGTGACTTCAGTGGAAAGGTAAATATATACAAATATATAAAAGACTAGTCTCAGTTTGGAGTCCGTTCATCAGTCTTCTATATGTTACGCCTGCTTTGGACAATTTTGATATTTTTAAATATTGTAGATTTAAATTTTCTCTTTTGAATATCCATAGTTTAATTTGAGTGTTATTTCTTTATTTTTCATAAAAAAATTATTGGCGCAGTAGACTGATGAACTTCGTTCTCCAAACCGAGACTTGTCTTTTATTAAATCAATCTACTGCACGCCACACCTGCTATGGGCAATCTTGATATTTTTATTGTAGATTTAAATTTTCTCTTTTAAATATCCATAGTTTAATTTGGGTGTTATTTCTATATTTTCATAAAAAATAAAATTATTAGCCCAGTAGACTGTTCTCCAAATTGAGACTTGTCTCTTATATGGTGTGCATAATCATTTGTTAGTCACTGCTTCAATAAAAGCATATTTCCTGCTATTTAATCTCTCTACGGTGTCTATTTGTCTGTTAGTATTCACCAAAATTTTCAAAAAGTTCTTGGTTTAGCTTTAATGTCCTGTTTAAAATCCATATTCTTACTACTAAACATGGATTCTACCAATACTAGTCTCCAACATGAATCTACTTGCTGAAACTTGATGAATTTGAGTTCTGATAAAATCAGGAATTCAGCAAGGGTGCCATTGACTTAACATGGGGATCTACATTCTCAGAAGAACTCAAGTTGATCAAGTCTCAACAAGTAGATTTATGTGGGAGAGTATTGGTAGAATCCATTTTCAAGAGTAAGAATAGGGGTTCTTAAACATGGGATTTATCTTAAAAGTAGATGCATGGCTTTCAAGAGATGCAAGCCCATGCCAATATTCAGCGAAAAGTGACTCATGGTCTTGAACATTTATTTTGCTGTAGATTTGTCGCTGGGATGTCAGAATGAGAAAACCTGTGCTGGAATATCCAGGTCATCAGAATGAGTATCGTGTACTACCTCTCCATATACATGAGGAACATGAGCTCCTCTATACAGGTATGTCATTAGGACTCTTGTACAGTAGATACAGGGGGTTTCAAAAATTTATTCAGTGATCTCCCAATGTTTTTTCTCAGCAGGGTGCTTTATCCACATTTTAGCAAAACATGTGAATATTTGAATATGTGAAGAGTTGAAATTTCCCATTTAGTGATTGCATATGTTTGAGCTGGTCTGTAATGAGTTGAAGATTTCCCATTTAGTGATTGCATATGTTTGAGCTGGTCTGTAATGAGTTGAAGATTTCCCATTTAGTGATTGCATATGTTTGAGCTGGTCTGTAATGAGTTGAAGATTTCCCATTTAGTGATTGCATATGTTTGAGCTGGTCTGTAATGAGTTGAAGATTTCCCATTTAGTGATTGCATACGTTTGAGCTGGTCTGTAATGAGTTGAAGATTTCCCATTTAGTGATTGCATATGTTTGAGCTGGTCTGTAATGAGTTGAAGATTTCCCATTTAGTGATTGCATATGTTTGAGCTGGTCTATAATGAGTTGAAGATTTCCCATTTAGTGATTGCATACGTTTGAGCTGGTCTGTAATGAGTTGAAGATTTCCCATTTAGTGATTGCATACGTTTGAGCTGGTCTGTAGTGAGTTGAAGATTTCCCATTTAGTGATTGGGCGATGGGTTACCCTGCGTGCAGAGTCTAGTTATACTGAAGACGAAGTGAAGTCGAACGAATGCAAAGGGTAGCTCTGGGTCCGATTAAATTGGCAATGCTATGGAACTAGCCATATAAAGTCATACTTTAAATTTTAAGAGTAAATAAAAATCATAACCATCCTGCCATTGCTAACCCAAAGATTATATTGTCCCTTTTTGTGCATGTTTTATCAATGTATTAGTTATCACTGAATACATTTTTTATGACAAATTGTGGCCATATTGGAATTTCCTTCTCAGACAGAGGTCCTATCAGTATGGCTATAAGACGATAGTCGGTTTTTGGACCAACAGTATTTGAGTCACAGCCAAGACACTAATGGACAGAACAGATGCTCCTCTATATCCCTTCTCACTAATTTAACAATAGAAATCACTTTGAAAAGAAATAATTTTCTCTATTTTCAGCTGGTCAAGACTGCTACACAAGGTTTTGGCACCTCCATACAGGAGAGCTCCTTTGTGAGATCCCACCCCCAAAGCCAGCTTCAACAGATTCTGTGCCCTCTGTTGGCTATAGCAACAAATGGGGTGGAGTATCAGGTTCAATAGGACTTATAATGGGCATGAAGGACACTATTAACTATTATAATTTTTAGCAACTAATTCATTTCAGACCCTTTGTATTTTTCAGTTTCAACCAAACTGGTCTCTGAAATAGAATTCCCTCCACGGCCCTTCTAATATCCCAGATGCGAGTAGAAATAATCTTGATTTACGTCATTAAAAATTTCTTCTAGGTCGGGGAGATTCCCCATAGACCCAATGTTGTAAAACCACAAAAAGTGAAATATCTTTTCTTGTGTTGGGCAGATAATATTTTCTCTTACTGGACATATGTTAATTTGTATAACTATCAGATACATAAGGGTAATATGAAAAGTGAACCACTAAAACTGATGCATATTCAAGTTTAAGGGAAATTTGTAATACCTTGCCATGTTTATTCCCCCGAATCAGCCACCTGGTGGCGAAACTGGTAACTACCTACTCGCATCTGAGTAATTAGTACTGGATACCTTTTTGTTTCATATCGAGAGTGGGTCATGGAGAATAGAACAAAATACATGACATTGTTATAAGTTTATAGAATTGTTTGTATTGGTTTTCAAACAAGCCTATGGTAGAAACCAAACCTTTGTTTTAAAAAATGAATTGTAAAAAATAAATAAACAATATTGAAACAAAAGTGACAGCTCAGTTATGTTGTTTATTATACCACTCACTTTGGTTACCATTCATGGTAATGCAGATAGATGTACCTGTGTCAGGGCTCACCCCTTTTACTGTAAAACATTGTCACATGTATTATTTTCACTTATTTTGTTAATGACTGATTCATGAAGTTTTCATGCTGTGAATTAATAATTTTAGCTGTAATATGAAAACTCTGGAATCTCTTTAATTTATGATTATCTTCAAGTCCCAGATTGAATAAGACCTGATCTGAAGGAGCTGATGGGCAAGATAAAGAGGTACTAGATAAAGGTGCTAAAATTATGGTAATGTTCACTGGTCCCACCTGGTTATAAATATGTAACGTCTTTATATCAAAATGGATGACCTTCCGTTGGAGGATTTTTTTTATTTTCATCATTCTCACCTACAAAGATGATTTGTTCCAAAATTCCCTCATTTCAGCAACCAGGACATTATTTAGTGAATTTCGTAATGTCTTGGTAGCGTTATGTTAATGTGCTGTTTGCTAAAGCAAGGGGTTTATAATTCAATTATTGGACATTTCCTCCCACTGAAGTTCATCCATTTTGGGAACCAGAGATGTTTGAAAAAGGTGGGTTCCATATAGACTACATGTATATGATTCTTCCATCAAAATTGTTTCTTTTTATCACTCAGTTGTTCATAATACTTTCGTAATGTTTAAGTAAGTAATTTAGTCCTAGCTTTGTTTATTGTAAGGAGGGTATGGCAGTTCATCACTTTTCCCAGCAAAATCTTCAGGAGGTTGTATATGGTCTGGTATTGCTTCTAAACGATTCTGAAATAAAAAGATGGGTTTTGATTAATTTGGTGAGAAAGTGGATTGCCAGCTGAAACTCTAAACCAGCTGACATTGAATCGATGATAACACCAGTTTAGACAGATAAAAGAATGAAATCAAAAGAATTGATAGATGTCATTTCTTAAAAAAGGTGGGAATAATCCTGCAAATTGAAAATCGAGAGCTCAAACATTAGGGAGCTGTCATGGAAGAGTGTGACTGTACCCATCATAACATCCTATATGTACTATTGAATATGATAGTTTGGTTATAACTGGCTGGACAAAAGGATGATTCTGTGTTAATTCAGATAAATCATCCTATGTTTTCTTTTTTTAAACTAAACAACTTGTAGATCCTCCAACTTACTCGAGTCACCTTCATGGCCATTCCTTCTGGGAGATTCCTTTGTATGTACTCCAGATAGGTGTCAGCACTGCAGCCTGTTATATGTTTTAACTGCAATATGAGAAAAACTTGGTAGGTGATAACAGAAAATGTAGAGGTGTTGATATTTGATTTATTTGAAAAAGACTTATCGCATGTTTTTCATCTTTTTGGCATGTTTTTCATAAAACTGTTTATGGTACACAACACATGCTGAAACAGCTAAGGATTTTTCATTTTTAATTATTGATGTGCATGTAATATATGCATACATATTTCAAACCAAATTCAGCAAACCAATACCATGCAAAATGTCACTACCTGCCAATTGTTACAGATGCTGAACATCGAACACCAAACATCCAACACCATTCACAAAAAAGTTGTAGACTATAACAATATGTCACCACATGTGGTGGTGACATAAAGATTATATTGTAAAATATGTATGACTTCACCAAGGCATTCAAGCTTACGTTAGAAATGAATGCTCTTATGAGAAAATGAGATTTTTTGGCAAATAAACTGTCTTCAATGTACACATTTAATTAACAGACTTTGCAACCACACTGACCAACCAATGGACACTAATTTAATACTGACATGCTCCATCATTTGTAGTCAGTGCACTAATACTTACTTGGAAGACTCTAAAATATGTTCTTATTTCATATTGCACCCTATGCTTCTTGTAAATATGCTTAGACTTCAGCAATGTCCTTCTAAGGATGTTCCTTGGGGGAGTCCACCTAATCAAACAAATATTATCATAGAAAATATAAAATCAAAACATCATATAATGTAAATGCACTATTCAACCTGACTTTTTCAAAATTTTCTGAATAATTGCAATTCTAGAAAATATCAGAGGTCAATTTGCAAACCTGAAAGAACTGATATTAATTGTCAAATCAAAGTGTGTGCCAAATCAAAGTAATTTACAATATATAACGTCCAAGATAACCGAATTATCATATTAGTAGAGCTGTATTGAATAAGTAATAACAGTTAAAACCTGTCCAATGCTAAATGCTACTAAGGCCTAATGTTCAGTTTGGCAGGTTTTGAGGTTTATAACTGGTATCTTTGGCAAATTAAAAAATGGGACCAAAAGGTGTTCCCATTGAGAGATTGGAGGGACATTGAATATACAGGTCTTAATGTATATATAATTTGGTTCTACTATGTTGTTTAGCTTACACATTTGCCATGTTCAGGCCTAGTTCCTTGGCAGCTAGGCAGCAAAACTTCTCATAACTATCTAACACTGCAAGTTCATGGCCTTTAGCTTCAATCTCTACTGACTTGTACAAGACATCTGCTTCATCAGTCACTTCGGGCTCAACCTGTAGAATCAGAAATAGTCATTCACAAATAACAACTACACAAGATTTGGCTGAAGATCACACTACATGTACAGTGAAAATCTTAAAGTTTCTATCATCATTTGAATGCATAACAAGTTTGTTTTTTTTTGTTTCTTTTTAAATAACATTTATTTTCCTTTTAAATTTACATACAATTACATATTAACATCAATCATCATACAAAATAAACATACCTTAGTCTTACAAATTTAATATCTTTTGTTTGTTAAACTCGCTTTTAATATTACATGTACCTAAATAGTTTTGACAGTTAAAAATTTGGATTGTTTTTCTTGCTAATAGAACTTCTTTATAATTAGAACATGTTTGAAGACCTAAAATTTGTTCATCTGACAAATTGAAATTATTCCAAATATCATTAACTTTATTACATTTAATAAAATGATGTACAATAGTGTCATTTACTCCACAATGGTCACATAAAGGAGAATTTTTAATTTTGAACTTGAACAGGACCATAACAAGTACATACAAACATATATGGGCACTTTATTTGTATTTTGAAAATAGTCATACATCATAGAAGGGAGTGGATGTTAAGCATAGTGATCTCCCCAGTATTAAAAGTAGTGGGTACAGCACCCATCTGAGATTTTAAAAACAGGCTTGCACCCACCTGAGAATTCACTTGCACCCACTTGATAATGAGAAAAATAGGCATAGTTTGACCAATTTCGATCTGAGTTGTGAAAATGAGAATTTTGCACCTACTCAAGAAAAAATCCTGTGGAGAATACTGACATGTTTTCAACTTCAAATGGCCTTAGTGAACCTTACAGAAGTGGGCCTCATTTAGAAATTAAAAGGGAGTTTAAAAAGATTGTTACATAATATTTATGGGTCCCCACTTCCTTGTCAATTTCCTGGTCTGTTCTTGGTTTCTTTACTGGATGAATATCTCTTTTCAATGTAGGTCTCCTTGAATTATTCTTTTAACCTCGATAACCTTTTTGTCAGGCTTACCCTTTTTAATTTTAATCTATATAATTGAGTTTGTCTATGAACTTACTTGCTGGTGGGAAGTAGTCGTTGGTGCTGTTGAACTCTGCCAAGATTCTGCTGAATAAAAACGATGAAGTCCACCTGGTATCAGTGGAACCCTAAAATACAATAAAAATATGTAATATAATGAATGTACTCTATGATGTCATAACAAATCTAATAGACTAGTACATGTTACATCTATTATTCCAATAGAAACGTTTGGAAAATAGCAAACAGAAAATTCACATACCTATGTTCCATTGACTGTAATCTGGTCATTGTACAACAAGCTGGAAGTATGGCTTGAGTACAGATCTGTGGAGCTTTAGGAAGCTGCAAATAGATAAAAGCAAATATACTCAACTCTGTGTTATCCATAGCCTGTACATAAGTACCATTCCTTGGAACATCATAAACATCAGATAAACAGGGTCTGATAAACCAGAGTGAAAGCTGATGTTAAGTTTTATATGTTGTAGTTGAAATTAATTCAAATTAAATGATAAGTGATGGAAATCAGGATGTAGGAACAAGTGTGTGGACATTTCAAGCAATTTTCACGTGTTTGTGAGTGTGACCTTCATTTATCAAGTCTTTCTCATTCATCTATATTTGAATGAGAAGAAATTTTACAGAGTGTTTTTTCAGGGATAGATAGAGTGCAAAAATAATTTGAAGCACCTGTCTTTAGTAAATAATATAACAATTACATTGGCGATGATAAGGCATTATGGATATGCATAAAATGAATGTGGTTATGACTCAATCTGAATAGCAGTTTTAATTTGTGCGGCCAATGTTGACGGACGGATGGACGCCTGGTCGATCCCATAGGCTCACTGTGTGAGCCAATAACATGTGACTCTATTGAGGAATGCAGAAAAATCCCAAACATGCACCCTGGCCTAATTTTGCATTGGGACAAAAAATAATGCATGACACTATTCAGTGAAGTGTAGTATAGTCTTAGTTTTCCCGAGATACTGTACGAGCCTGTCTTTCTACCTAATACATAGTGGAGGGGAATGAACTCTTCGTGTCTGTGGAATATTATGATTCATACTTTTTATTTTGCTAGCTACAGTCAGTCCGGTCTAACGTGTTTTATTGAAATTTTTATTCATTTCACTATCAAAACATCATAAATTGTCTAAATTAGGTCTCAATAAAAAGAAGAATTACCGTATTTCTGATAAATGTTGAAATTTTTGTAAGCGACATGGAGGCTGCCATTTTGATTTATATCACCCAAAATTTATTTACAGCCTCTAAATATATCTTATTTATCTGTTTATATAATATTGTTCTAGTCACACAACGTGTATATTTATAGGTCTTATATTATCATTTATTTAGTTTTAGGATATACTATTGATTATATTGCTACAGACGTAAGATATAGAAATGGAGATAAAATATATCATGGCGTGTCGTGGATTGATTCACTCCGTAAGGTTTTACTATAGCGACAAACCGGAAGTATCAAAATGGTGAGAAAAATAAAAACTTTCAACAAATCGTAATTTTATTGCATAAATACTCAGTTTTATTGTTTATTACTTGTTCAACATCCTCAATTGATGGTCGGTGTTTTTTTTATTCCAGTCGAAGGGTACCACAATCAAGGAAGCTCTAGCAAAATGGGTAAGTACTGTAGCACTCAAAATTCAAATTCAAAAAAGTGAACCTGACATTATCGCATTCTACAACCCCTTTAGATTGTGGTCGTACGCGCATATAATTGGGCAGTCAATGTTTTTACAAAGTTGGAGAAAATACTACGCATTGCACACCTAAATGACCTTCCTCGATATATTCCTTAGTATTTTAGAATTCTTTTTATGTTGTTAGATCGCCAATTGTATGGGTTTATCGGCAGAACGAAGATATTTTAGTTTTTACATCGGAAATATATCAGCAATTTTCAAAATGTCGGAAGGGGAATTCCCCAGGGATTTCCCTTATGACTGGTGCATGCCGGGAACTGAATGGAGGAATTTGACGGTTGAAATAAGTTAAATATTACACGCAAATATTGCTATCAAAAATGAAAACCTCTTCGTTCTGCCGATAAACCCACACAATTGTGGATTCAACTACACGAAAAGAATGGTAAAATACCAAGGAATCTATTGAAATAGGTATCTTAAGTGTAAGAAGCGTAGAAATTTCTCCCATGTTGTAATCGTACAGACAAAAGAATAAGACGTTCGCAAGACTAGAACGTAGAGATAGTCTTGGAACGAGATAAAACCTGACACAGATTGCCCCTCGTCCCTTTCTTTCCATTAAATTGACATAGACATAGACATTTATTCTCATTTCACTTTTGCACCAATTACCATGTTCCTGAATCTATGCTATAGAACGCCATCTTTTCATCAAGCTATCATTTGATACATATTTACAGAACAGGCAAAGCAGCAATATGGCCACAAAACTTGACATTGGGGTTTGTTGTTGTCAGACTCACCTTCCTCAGCGTTTTATTTAGTGTTACCAAAAAGTGGGTCCAATGGACCCCACGGTAAAAAAAAATGGAGTCCAAACCAAAAAAAGTGGGTCCGAAAAATAAAAGGCCTGAAACTAATTAAAAATGAAAAAATTAGATAAAGCAAATTCAAGTACTCGTTTTTTTTCTAAAGTATCACAAATGTAAGGCATTTTTGTCTTTTTTACCATGTAGTCTTATGGAGTGATTTTATATTTACTAAACTTACAACTACATAAACATATTTATTGTAACATTTCATAATGTTCATTATCATCATTGTCAATACATGAAGGATGTAATGATAATTCAATTTTTCCTCTTTTTATCTAAATCTGTTCAAATAATACACATACATGTACTGTAGGTACATACTAGCTCAGACAATTTTGTAATTTAGACCCTCTCTGGTGCATTCTGGCATATCTCGGCAAAAAATTTCCAATAATAATATTTATAATACATAATTGATTGTAATTAATTTTTTTCTTAATTACTTTGTTTTTCAATGTTGCCCCTTGTTCCTCCTCACTCTGATGTAAATTAATAAACTCAATATTCCTTTCTGACACATTATCAATCTCAATGAAATATAAAGATCAACATTCAATAGTTTGATATGTATTTTTGACTTGTAATATTTTATTTGTTTTCAAATGTTGCCCTTTGTGCTTTCTCACTATGATGTAAGATAATGCCAAAAAGATCAATTGTATTAATTAAACAGTTTGTTGTCAAGTTTATGTGTAGGCTAATTGTTAATAATAGTATCCATTGAAAGATGGCAGGACAGTGATAAATGTTTTTTGCTACTGACCCATTAATCTCAAAGCAATGATGTTTTGGTTTTAGAGGTCAATCAAAATGGTGGCCGAATTACAGTAAGATAATTATCTCAGTGTTTCTCTGAAACACTGCTGATTATCTGCCTATTATACTTAGATTTTGTCTTCACAAGGTAGGCCAATTTATATTCTTTCATTTGTACTACTGGTTGAGTGTTCTAAGAGGTAAGGTTTTTGGAAATTGCTGTAAAAATAAAGTGCGTCCAAGGGACTCTGGAGTTTTTTATTTTTCCGTCCAACATTATTTTTTGGGGTCCATCTAATGTAAAGACGGCGTTAAATAAAACGTAGTTCCTCTGAATTATCACCATGTAGTTCCTTCCATTTAATGTTCTCACAAGAATTGACCATGGAAATGTAGAGGAACAAGGATCTGCCATGTTTTAAAGATAATTTGTACTTTCAGGAGGAAAAAAATGGCGAGAAAGCTTGTGATGCAATAAAGGTTGATCTTTACTTCCAAATCTCTCCCATTGAAAAAATGGATGCATCTTTATCAACACTCACATGTTGCCAGTAAGTGTTTTTCAATTGAATCATTTTTTGTGTATTTGCATCAATTGCATGAAGAGAATTGTTTTTCTCTCCTGCCTTTTACAAATACAAAATATTGTAAAATTTCATAAGTATTTTCAGTATATAAATTTTGCACCATCTATCTCCCAAAACAAGGGAGTTCAATACTTGCTGAGGGAGATTTATGTATACGATATACCCGAATGATATAATGACTTAAACCATTCAGATCCATTTTGTGACATTTCTCCATCTTGATGAAATTGTGATTTTTTTGTATTGCGCATGTAATAAACAAAAACTTATAGAACATTGTTTTATTTCAGAAAGTTGTCTTTATCTACAAACTGTATTGAAAAAATAGCCAATCTGAATGGTCTCAGTAAGTATTCATTTTACTTTGTCTATCTTATCCTTAAAGTTTGTGCGAAACTATATAGAGTGCTCAGGTGTCCGTACTATAAATATAAATAGGCTCAACCAAAGTTTTGCTCAGAAAGGTGTGAGAGGACGGTCGAGACACCAAGCCGTCCAACTGTCCCGCAATTTGCGTATTTGTCACACATTTGCTGTCACGCAGTATGTCAAGCAAATACGCATTTTACCTGATTATTGTCCAGCAAAAATATTCCTGTTGAAAATTTTTTAAAAATGATCGGCGATACACCACAAAACCGAAAAAAAAACAAAAACGAACGCATTTCGTTCGGACTTTTCACGCAGACACCGAATATGTCACGCATTTTGCCTGAAATATTCCATACCTCATGTTAGGTGTTCCCAAGTTGACAGGCCTGAGACACATGCTAAACAATAGTCCATGTTTGCAAGTCTAGCTATGTAACATATTCTATATTGCTAATACTTATTCATGATGTTACTTGTAAGATATATTTTCATGTATTTTTATAGTTTTGAGTATATATTTTGGATAGATATTGAAAACGTATACTGCATTTTTATCAGACCAATACATATAAAATAGCAACATATCATGGATGATTGTACACCAAGATACATATTGGTATGTATTTACATGCGCAACTTACTGGGTACATGTATATGTACAATACATTGTATGTTCTGTACTGTATATTGGCGGACTGTGAAATGCTACATCTCAAGATAACCAAATTGTGCCACACATGTATCAAAATGGAATATGTAGATAGACATTAATTTTACATTGTTTATAAAACTGACATCATGTGGCTATAGTACTCTGATACTTGTTTATTTCTGCGTAATAACAAGCGAGCCTACAACCAAAAAAGTACTTGAGGCAACAATTCTGCCAACAGACCACCTGGACAATTAAGATTACGGAAGCAACAAGATATTGAAGTCGAAAACATTTAGGAAAACTGAGAATTATTTTGTATTGCACGAAATACACAAATTTCCTTAAAGGGTGACATATCGAACGCTCGTTTCTGGTGTTGCTCAAGTATAAAAGGCCCGATCCCGGAATAATACTCAAGTTTTCACAGGCTCGAGGTTGGTGTGTCAACACCTCTAACTGTTATAGCATTAGTATATTATACTGTAGATTGTCACACATTTATAAAAGGAGATATTTATTTGACAAATCAATTTCACATTTATGGACAAGTTTCAGGATCTTCTATTTATGTATAATAAGGAAAAATTGACATCTAAATTTCCCCATAACGTATTAGTACATAACATGGCATATGAAATATCCTCCAAATGAAACAAAGCAGTTCTAATACAAGGATTCATATTGGCTTTTGTACATGCATTCTTTGAACAATCACTCTCAATAATGTTTTCAGAATCATTATAAACGGATAACTTTATCTCCAAGGCAATTTCAATAAATTGGATTTTACAAAACTCCCCTTATTTCTTAAAAATGGACTCATCCAGTTGACTCGCCTGAAGCCGTCCATATTGTGTTTATACAGGAATCTTATCGGAACCCTTTAAATGCTTAGTATGTTTATATGTTTTTGTACAATGTACGTGTAAATCACACTGAAATTACTTTTTCAGAAAATCTTAAAAGACTATCCCTGGGAAGGAACAACATAAAAAGTTTAACAGGATTGGTATGTTACTTTAGTTTGATTTTTGGGACCAAAATCTATATACAAAAAAAATGTTTATCTAGTACAGTAGTATAAATTTTACAGATAATGTTACACTCTAATGGAGACTTCCAATTTAGAAATTGTATTGCAAATGTATGTCATTTAAAACAGAAATCATTCTGCATTTTTGAAATATTTTTGAAGTTGTAAACAAGAAAATAGAAGATACACCTTTACACCGTGCAATTAGTAGAATGAAAATGATAAGCTTCACCAACAGGCCTAGAACCCTCTTCATAGTGACAATTTGAAAGATAATTTATGTACGATATGAATATATGTCTTCTAGGAAGCAGTTGGTGATACTTTAGAAGAGCTATGGATATCATACAATTTTATAGAAAAGTTGAAAGGAATAAATGTCCTTAAAAAACTAAAAGTAAGTATCATTATGTGTTCTGCAATGTAGACTGGAAAGTACATGATTGTATTATTGGTTTATTATTTATTACATATGGTTTATACTTAGTAAGTTGTATAGTCAAATAAATGTATTTCTCTGTTTGTGCTAGCTAATTCTCATTGATTTTAATTTGTACAGTAAAACCTGTTAAGTGGAACACCTCTGTTGGTGGTCCACTTCTCAAACTCCCAAGCCCAACTGACTTAATGTAAAATAAACCTCTATAAGTGGAACACCTCCCAAATGGAACACTTTTTAGAGGTACAAAATGTGTCCTTCTTAACTTACACAGGTTTTACTGTGTTTGAATGATATCAGTTTTCTCCTACTTAAAGCATTTATAGATAATCAATGACTTGAGCTAAAAAATTCATCTCAAAGGACAATTCCTGTCTTAACATTGATCAAGATCCAATTTGTTTGAGTGGAATATTTCTTGTTTTAAATAGTCATACTGTTTAAAAGAGGGTATCCTTACTTGATCTTCGTTAACATTTGAGACACTCATGCAAATATGACTTAATGCAATGGTTTCTTCTTTACTTCTGTTTTCAGATACTTTACATGTCCAATAACAATGTCAAGGACTGGGGTGAATTTGGAAAATTGGTATGTAATTTAAATGCAATTGTTACTCATTATGGATGTGTGTGCATTTGTATACAAGATTGAAATGTATTTGATTTATCTGTTGTACACTTTACTTTGTGAAATTGAATCATACAGTGTACATAATATTAACGTATGAATACTCTCAAACTCTTTTTTCCTTTCTATTTAAAAAACAATATTTTAATATCCATAAAACAATTATTTGTCTAAGACTAGTCGATTATAATTAATATTAATGTTTTGTGATTGTACATCTGATATTTTTATTTCATCCCACCCTGGGATAGTGCATTGAAATACATTTATTAACTTGTAAGTCAAAACTGTGCATATTTTATTTCCACATATAGAGTGACCTGCCATGTTTAGAGGAACTCTTGTTCACTGGAAACCCCCTTGAAGAAAAACATTCAGCCGATGGGGACTGGAGGGATCTCGTCATCAAAAAGCTTACCAAACTCAAAAAATTGGATGGTATGTGTAAAATTGATGTATATATATTTATTTTCATTCCAGTACATTTTGTCTTTTAAAACTACATGTAAATGTAAATAATTTCCAGAATTGAAAATGTCTCTACTGGTTAAAATGTTTATTTTTTGATCAAATTCGTATCATGGATTGGAAATGTATTTGAATCAAGTTTTAGTCAGAAAATGTTACATATCATACCATAATAACATTATGTGTATTGCTTTCTTGTTGTCTGTATGTCTCTGGTTGTGTTTATTAATGTGCTTGAGATAACTAACTCCTTGTGAATTAATCTAATGATGTTAATAAATCACGTAAATTAGCTTTATTTCAGCATTTTTAGGTAGAATCAGAGATACAAAGTGGGTCTTATTCAATATCTTTCAGTGCCACACATTTTTCAAAAATCATCATACCTAATCAAGCAAATAGATGTTTTAACATTTATGTCCAGTTAAATTGTGGGTGTATGTCATCATTTATCAGTTTTTCCCTAACAACTAACTTATTATGTGGTCTAGATCCACCTGATTGTGAGGCAGCAAAGCCACAATTTACACTTTTCTGCATTTCAAATCTAAATTTGTAAATCCAATTTTGCCACCCCTATTGTCTCTAATTCTACTATTTACTATGTAACAGAGACTATATCTAATGTCAAAAGACTATTCTGGGTGATATTTCTAAATTTTTCATAAAAAAATTACTATCTCAGTGTATTTTATTGAAACTGTGTACTGCACATCTCTATGACCAAAACATTTTTGTATTAAATTCAACCAACATTTAGTCTTTTTTATAATCCTAATCTCCAGGATTTCAAATCATTTCTGCTGGAGACTTATCAGATTCTGAGTCAGACTGTAGGCCACACACAGTTAAGTCAGTGAATCATTGGAGCAAGTTGAGATCTCAGTTCAAAAAAGTGAAGGAGTAGAAAAATAGTAAATTTACATTTAGATATTAAATTAAATTATCAATAGAATTGCAATATAAGGCATGAACTTTTTATAACATTTTATACATACACTAAATGTACCATTTTCCAAAAAATGTTTTTTATTGCATGCTAACTGGAACTCACATTTTGCACAACATACAAAATCACTTTTACACCCCTTCCAAAGTTTTGAAAGTCCCCTTTTTATCCTGATTAAATCCTTTTGATATCTGGTGATTTTAACAAATCCATATTTGTCATGAAATTCTTACCTATTATACTTGTTGTAATATAGAATTAAACATAAGCAGGCTTTAATACACTATTTCATTTGCCAAAATTATGGGGGGGGGGGCTGTAACAACATTAACAATACATACAATTTGAAAAAACATATCTTTAGTATCTTTGAACAAGATTAGATTACAAGTACACTCCCCTCATAAAATTTATCAGCCCTAACTTCCGATATAGTCTAATTATGTAAGGCTGGTTTGTGTTTTTTTATGATTTTTTAAAAATGATCAACATCAACTCTCTATGGGCCCAATAGCAAGTTGATGTTATCACACTTTTAGAGGAGAGTGTACATAGTACGGTTTCATTTTTTTCTGCATAAAACATCTAACTCTCTAAGCCTGTGTGTTTCCATTTCTAATATTCAGTGTGATGTCTTAACATTTGGGTCCAACTTATCAAAATGACATGGAAGCTCAGTTGCAATGTTATTTAGAAGGACACTATTTGTAAATCTCATCTTGAGTAAACCAAAATTGTTTTTTGATCTGTTTTTGCATCACCAAAACGCTTTGAAACGATGATCAAGTGAGAAACCCCTCCCTTTAGCAGCTAGAGCGTTAACACAACGCAACCAAGATGTTATGAAATTCACCAGACAACATCTCAGTTGCTGAAGTAAGGGAATTCTCACTCATTAGTGGAGCTGCTGGATATGCTTGTGACTAAGTGGCTTTTCAGTAACCGGGTGTTACTATTAACATACCTGTAAAATGTTTGAATACAAATCAACCTCTTTGTTGGTGAAAATAAAAAAAAACATACAAATTCTCTCTTACGGAAGTTCAACCATTTTGCTGTAAACACGTTACCAGATGGGGACCAGTGACCAGTATGAGAATTACAGCTAATAGCTTTTTCAATTCTTTTCTAAATGTGTTCAAGAGCAGTGTGTACTTTTCAAAGGTTGGGTGTTGTTTATACAGGACATGTGTGTTAAAATGCAGCTTTTTCTGTGAATAAAAAACATCCATAGTTTGAAAAACTGAACACATCTGACAAATCTGAAGATATAACCTTGCATGTGGATTCAATATCTAGTCTTGTCCTGTTGTATGTTGGTATAAGTAGAGGTTTTAAAGTAGATTTTTACACTAGATGTTTCAATGATGTCATTTCAGGTGAACCTGTCGTCAGAGATGATGCTGATGAAGACTAATAGATGGCAGCTCTTATTTGCGCACAGTTTTCTAGAAAATGTAGAGCTTTTTAACTATTCTTTTCACATCTGTAAATATCAATGCAATCATCACACACTTGCTTCAAACTTATTCTATATGCAAGACTTGAACTGTTATCCTTTTGAAATATAACTTAGATGCAAACACAATGCTGTTGAGAAAGATTTGCTTCTGATATAGCTTGTTCATCTTTTGCCTCATCATACTTAGCTTTATGTGAAATTAAATAATGCTTCTTATACGATATCCTGTACTCCCACTAATATTTGACGTTATTATATTTCACGTTTTTTGGCATTTTGAAATTTCGCGACTATTATATTTTGCTAATTTTCAGTTTTTTGAAATTTCGCGGCTATTAATCTCCGCGGATTTGTCATACAGGATCTCTCTTTCGACTTTGATATCAGCCATGGTTGTTCCTTCACCCAATGATTTTAGCTTCTTATTAAGCCTTTTCGTTAGAATGTTCGTTTTAATACAATAAAGATCTCTTTCTAATTTCTCTTTTTCAAAACTCAAATGTCACGTTTTTACCTATTATCACCCAGCACTGGACGAAAATATTGTCAACATTGAAATCCCCAGGAATTTCCTTGGAATTTCGCTACTATGAAATTTCGCGAATTAAAACGGGGAATTTCGCGGCTATTATATTTTGCGAAATTTCCAAAACTCGCGAAAAGTGCGAACTAAAGCAGCGCGCGAAAATTACTGGGAGTACAGTATCTGCATTGAAGCAATTTTGAGAATTAATGTACTGCTTCATGAAAAAACCTTTGATTTGGTGATGTCACATTATTTGAAATCATGGAAGAATTTCCTGCCAGTATTCAAGGTTCAGATGGTTTTGGCAATCTAAGAATTGTTGAACCATATTGATTGTATTTGAATGAATTAATAGTAAAAAACAGTTAACAATATGTAAAATAAAGAAATTCAAATCACTATTGCAACTGAATGAACCGCACATCTTAATAATGGAACTTAAATTTTAGGCCTAAATGAGGTTTAACAAACATTAAGGATCTGTATATGAGGTTTTGGGAAACTAGTTTCATGTAAAATTGCTATTTTGGCCCATTCCTTTATTATGTTGAGAGTGTAACATCATTTTAATTTAAACATTGTGACATCATTTTAATCAAAGTTCTCAATATGGTCATACGTGTATATACACAAAAAAGAAATGTGTTACCACATTTTGCAAAATATCAACTTCTATTTAGTGTACATTACAGAAGTATTTATAGTCATTATAAGCTTTAAAACATATATTTCTTCACTTTCAGGTGTTGTTGTTACTGAGACTGTTATCTAATCTCACAAATAAACAGACACAGAAAGAAAACATAAAAACAGTTAGACAACCTTGGAAAACTGTGTGAAACAGAATGTATACTTATTGTACATAATGTTATATACAAATCAACAAAAATGGACAAAGTGAAGATACTAAGTTTGGGAATAATATTCAAAAAAGAAAATGAAATAGTTTGTTCAAATATGCAGTTTCTCAGACATTTAAAAATATTTTGCTGTTATTTGATTTAGAATTTTGTAAATATAAATGTATATATTTGTGTTGTTATGTATAGTAATACACTCTATGTGAAATATTGTATATGAAATAAATTGCATGAATTTAATATGGCACACTATATTTTATTCAAGTATTCACAAGGGTAGCTTTAATTTACAAGATTATCACATCTAAGAGCCACATCATTCCTCCCTCGGTATCCATCCATCTATCATCACAATATTATGAACATGTATCCATGTATATACATATGTAGGATGCATTAGATTGTTTTTCTGTTATCTGTTGGGCCTAATTTTGAGTTACAGTGTAAAACTGACTTCAATGAAAAACAAGACAAAATGTCACCACCTAGCAAGTTGAAAAGAACTTTTTGACCTTGAGAAGGTCATTGAAGGTCAAATCTTTTTAAAGTCAGATTTGAATTTCTGATAACTTGTAGATTATTTTGAAAATTATTGAAGTCAGTCTAATAAACAGTATTTGTTAAGTTATTGGAAGTTGTAAGAATTTGGTACAGATGCCAACCACCAACCATCCGCTGATCGCCTACCCCCCGTCATAAAAATTATGTACTGGTATAAAATATGGGAACTCAAAAATCCATTTTCAGTGTAGGGAATTATTTTCTGTTATATCATTTCACTAGCACTTGACAAAAGTCATGGTGGATATATTTAGACTCTCATTCATGTCAATTATATTTGTTGAATTTCCTAATTGGATTACTTAAAGGCAGAATTAGATCTATAGGGAGTGACAAAATTACAAGCACAACAAGCAACACAAGTAATGTAACTTGCGCAAAGCTCTAATTAGTGATATTGTCATTTAAAATATACCAGTGGTTCAGATATCTGACAACGGTAACAAAAAATCTAGACAGGGTACATTTTTTGCTTTGGGGATTTTTAGAAAGTAGACATGAGAAATTATTATCCCAAAGCATTCCAAAATTAAAACAATTTTTGTAAAGGTTGCTCGCTGATACCTGTACCTGTACTACTACATTTGCTTACTAGATCTGATACTACCTTTAATGGGGTACACACTGAAAGGCATTCCCATGAAAAGCTTTTCATAACATGAAAGTCAATGGGATATAAAATATGACCAAAAACAATGTTATAACCAGACATTGAAATGTTGGCAGTAATGGGTCTGTGAACTAAAGCAACAAAATTCAAAGAATACATTTAACCAAATATATAATCTTTATTCCATAGACAACAGTTCATAGTTTTATGCTCTACAACATATTTTCATAGTCTATTCAAAAACAAAAATACTCAATAATCTTTATCACTTGAGCCATATTGATCGACAGCTTATCCAACGATACAGAATAAAACCTGCATGTGCATGGCATTATATTATGTAGCATTGGACAAATTATGCCATTTGTTAATATCTATTTAATATTCAACAGCACATAACTGATAAAATTTGGCTTAAACTTAAAAAGACAACACCGATTCATTCTCCATGATGTCATCATATTGTGACAACTAAAACAGACTCAAGTTCAAATACAATTTATGAATTTGCATCAATGACTTAGAATGTTCAACGTTAACATTAATAATTTTTTAAAAGTTCATTCTCCATGGGTTATTCCATTTACCAAACATCTATATAGGGATCCTATATATAAACTAAATTATTCATCTTAATAAAAATATTTCATTTTATAACTATACATATTTGACAAGTCCTGCTCGAAATACTGTAATCCAGCAAATTCTACCATAGTTGATTTCTTGCAAATACATTGAGCATTGCAAAGTTCTGTTCATCTTCAAATTATAACTTAAAATATCAATTAAAACTGACAAAAATTTAAATGAAAGTTATAGAATTGCATATAATTTGAAGATGATCAGTCTTTATATAAATATCTGACAAGAACACCTCATTTTTACTTAATTTTAATTACACTAATAGATAATGCTATCATTCACCTCAAATTGGTATATCATCAAAATATTGATCTATATTACCCAGGAGCCAGTTTCTAAAATGCATAAAGTTCATAATTACAATTTTGATAAAATATAGATTGATTTGAGAAACTGCCCCCTGGATGGATTCAATTCAAATGACAGTTGTATCAAGAATACGCAATATCAATTTCCTTAATATGTGATGTTACATGACAATTAACTTGAAACTCTTCACAAAAAAAATATAGAATATAACACCATAATATGTTTGTGCAATATAGGTGCTACAGTCAGTCAGTCAGCCTGTCAGTTTACATTAACAGGTAAACAATACAATGTGAACTTAAGCAGCTACAAAAAAGAACACTAGAATATCAGATCTGATAGTTACCATGGAAGCAATACATATCCTTTCTGTCAATGACTCAATGCTGAGTCAGTGGAACAATACTGCTGCTATTAATTCAAATATAAATATATATTGCATCTCACTATTTTAAATCATAAACATTCATAGACTATACAGATGATAATGTACATTAATAGATATTTGACAAAGTCTTGAACTAATTGAACTCAATACAGGTCACATTTAAATAAAATAATAGATAATGTATACTAGAGGTGTCACGGTTACCCGATTTTGTTCCGATCCGCGGAATTATGCCCTCAGAACGGAACACGGAACAAAATTTAAGAATTTCGGTTCGGTTCCGGAACAAGAACATTTTACCCTTTCACAACTTCTGGCTCTTGAATCTCCACAAAACAGTATTTTTCTTTCAATATTTTGTACCAAAAGAGGTTCATTCTTTTTACTTCTTCTCTTTGAAGAGCTTTTCGCTACCAAATAGACCTAGATGATCAAATGATTTTAATCTAATACACACAGTCACTCTGTTCCAAACCGTTCCGAAATTGTTCAGTTCCGAAGCAAAATGTTCTGAACCGAACTGTTCTGATTTTTTTTTTTTCGTGATATCTCTAATGTATACACAAGTCATGCTGAACCGGAGTACTGAAGCCCCATACTGTAAAGGTCATTTTATGTACAGTTAAATAACATATTGTCTAAATAAGTGGCAGTGTATCTTCTGTTAAAGGAAAGAATATTTCAATGATTTCGGTAATTTTATCAAACATAGTACTTTTCTCCAATACTGTACAGCCATAATAACGTAAATATTTGAAACGACAATATAGGCTATCATAATTCAGCCCGACCCCAAGTTAACTCTCCCAAATCAATTCATGCCAAATCAAATGTTATTTCAGACTTAGCAGGACCTGTCTTGAGCAACTACAGTTCAATCAACACGTGTCAACATTTAATTAATCTTAGTAATTAACCCTAAAACTCTAAGTAATTATATGATTAGAATGGGTCCTTTAATTGTGGCTTTAATACATTAAGCAGATCAAGTTATCGCTCAATTTACATATTTCATTCCACATTCCATGTAATGTCATTGTCACAAAAATGTCGACCATTCATTAAAATATGTTACTTCCATTTAAACGAAATCAATAATTGGCAATATTGGATTGTCGCGATATGAGGTTACATGCATTTAAACTATATTAATAAGGGAAACAATGGGCAAAGCAGTCAGTACACAAAAAGAATAAGAAGATTTGAGGTGAATTCATTATGGTAGCTACTACACCATACCCAAGCCCAATTCATAAATACTACACTATACTATCTAGCAGCAGAATTATACAAGCATTTGACAATCTTGTCAGTTATGAACTGATTTAAACAATACAATGTCCAATGTAAACATTACATTTGCTCCCCAGTGTCACCTATAATGGAATCCATTAATATTGGGCAAAGGGCTATATAATAACCTATGAGTTAGAGACTAGATAGTTCAGCCACTCTGGACCCACCAGTCCCAATGACATCAACACACCGCCATCTACCATTCATAATAGAGATCAGCACATCTATGTAACACATGTCACTGTATATTCTCATACATACAGTTTATCATCTAAGCCATATAAAGATTCTCATGTAAAAATAAAAAATATTTCATTCGGAATCATCCTAATTTTCTGGTCCACCTTAATTGCACTGTTCCTATGGCAACAGAAGCTGTTCTTATACCCAAATGTACTTGACAATAGTACCCCATTTTTCTAAAAATCTTTACACATCAATACCATTGTCATTATGATATAAACAGGGGTAAAGCACACATATTGCAGCCATCATATTTGTTATTATGCAGGATTACTTCTCTCTCAGGCAATCACCCATACTCTGATGCTGGTGAGAGGGATGAGTTGTGTGAAGGGGTGGGGGAGTAGACATGTTTGTATGCTGCTTTCGTCTTCACTTTAGGTACCTTATCAGGATCTATCACTCTGTGACTCTTCATGTGAGCGCTACGACTTTTCACTTTGTAAAACACTCTGAAGTAAAAATGGAAATGTTCACAATTACTATCAAATGAAATTAAATGATGAGGCTGTTGAATGTTTATTCAATGTTTTCCTCCAGTGACCTTCTATGTATTTAAATGGAATGTTTGTCTGCCTGTTTCAGTCATGTTCGAATAAGTCATTTTATAACTTTATAATACAAGGTAAATAAATGAATAGATGTTGAGCAGGATGTCTCATATGTGGTCAACTTCTCAAATCAAGCCATAATTTATTTTTCTGAAACGGACACAGAATTCAACAAGAGACGCTCCATAATATCAACATTTTACTTACTTGCCACATTTCTTACAAGGGAACTCCTGTAGTGGCTCATCAGGATTAAGACTAGATTGATTTGGCGGAAGGCCTGGAACAACAACAGGTCTACTCGGACTGACTTCCCGTTTTACTGAGCTACCCTGTCCACCATGTATACGAATGTGGCCATTCAAAGCCATCTTTGAGTTGAATGTCTGTAAATACAAAACAATAAATAAATGTAAAGTATGGATACTATCACTTTGATTTTCATGTTTGATTTCTATATTTTTCTTTATTGCAAAATTGTAAAAACTCTAAAAATATTAACATAGATGCAAATTGATGTAATTGCCCAGTGTAGCTGTATTTATTAGCAAGTAGTTATAATGAAAATAATACACCTAAAGGTGTTTATTACTATTACATCACATACTAGAATGGTACAAAAGTTGTTTATCTCTTCTCTACTGATAATTTCAAAGCTATCTTCAACAACTGTAAATCTGAAACAAGTATTAACATGCAAAATGTCAAAACCTTCCATTTGTCCACTGCTAAGTATTAACATGCAAAATGTCAAAACCTGCCATTTGTCCACTTTTAAGTATTAACATGCAAAATGCCAAAACCTGCCATTTGTCCACTTCTAAGTATTAACATGCAAAATGTCAAAACCTGCCATTTTTCCACTTCTAAGTATTAACATGCAAAATGTCAAAACCTGCCATTTGTCCACTTTTAAGTATTAACATGCAAAATGTCAAAACCTGCCATTTGTCCACTTTTAAGTATTAACATGCAAAATGTCAAAACCTGCCATTTGTCCACTTCTAAGTATTAACATGCAAAATGTCAAAACCTGCCATTTGTCCACTTTTTATGGTGACTTAGTAACTGAACTGTACTTACCGAAGAACAACCAGGGTAATCACATGTATGGATTGATGTTGGAGTAGTGGATCTAGACCTGTCGCTATCTTTCACCTGAAACCATATTAGAGTAAGAGATGCCTCATTGTTCACATGCACCATAGTTTGATGTAATTAACGTTTGTTGGAAGTATTTCTAAACAGGGTTAACACGTTATCATTGTTAAAGGAAATACAAAATTAACCTCTTATTGTAGCCAAGCAAGGTCCATGTGAACAGAAAACCTGGTAAAATATTCATTTTAGAGTAATCAACAAGCAAAATGAAAGAAATTGATATGTGTTCTAACCATAAAAGTATATCTACATCATTTGAATAAAAGTGCACAATAATACTGTACAATGATACCATAATACTATACAATAATACTGTAATACAAGGCCAATGCTTACAGTTTCTTCAGGTTCTCCCTTTACATTAGGCAGTTCAAATGAAGAGTTTTGCTGTTGAGCTTGGGCCTGTACCATCTCTGCATTTTGGGCACGTGTTCGAATGTTGTGAAGTTCATCTTGTTCGCGCTTACGTCTGATGATTCGTAAACGTTTGTGTTCATCTGCGCAGACCTTCTTCCACAGATAGTAGAATTGCACACATTCCCTGGTATCCTTTGTGCCAATCTAAAGGAGAATGAATACATGGAATAGATTTAAATACATGTACATGAATAAATAGTTATATGGGATAAATAACAGTCCATAAATACATGTATGCGAACTATTTGCGCAAGCCAGAAGTATATGATAGGTAATGTGAAATCACACAATCTATCACACAAGTTACATAAAAAACTTAGACTTCAATCAACAGGCAATGTGGGGGATTGTGAGCAAATAAAATAAAGCTCACTGAACAAGAATATACAATTACATACATGTAGGCTAATAACAAATAACAAAATAACAGCACATCATTTTTAGGGGAGACATTCTTGTGTAATGTAATTTTCCAATGATCACATACCTCCTTAGATATGCTAAAGAAATCTTTGTCACATTTAGTGAGTGCTTGATTGTACTGTTCTATCTCCTCCTGCGACCAGGTATCCGTCTCCTGGTAACGGTAGTTAAGCAATGGATGGTTGCATGGCAATGTAGGCTTGTTGTTCATCAGGGCTAGAATTGCAGCCTGAAAAATAGATATGTTATTGGTTAACATTGAGGCACACATTTACAGCCTTTTAAGTGGAACACCTCCATACGTAGAACACGTTTCTAATTCCTGTTATCTATTATCTTCATATAAAATGAATCTCAGCTAGTGGTACACTTAAATGAAACACTATTTTGAGCTTCAAAGGAGTTCTTCAACAGTTTCTACGTTATACCGATTCACACCATGATCAGTTTCAAATTACTCTTGAGAATTGAACCCCACATGTTTGTTCAAAGTTACTTTAATATCTATAATAAAAAACATCTAAGCCCACATGACATCACGATGGGGCAGAAATAATGCGGGACTACCACAATGACTTTATTTTCATTATGTTACCATATTAACATATGTTATCATATTCATTTATATGTGAAAAAGAGAAACTTCAACATCACATTTATTTCTAAAAAATCATCTTAATGTCCTTGCTATATCAAGAAAAAATTCCTTAAAAATAAAACTCTAATTAGATTACATATCTTCAGTTTAATGTGAATGTACAAATATGTGCCCCTTATTTAAAATACATTATTATTAGAATGGTGGTCTCATATGTTAAAAATATACATTGTTTTTAACTGGTAAAATAACATCACTATTAGATCCTGCAGATCAAGTATTCTAGAAAAATAAATATTCCATCAATTAAGGATCAAAATCATGCTATTGAGGTTCTCATTGAAAGCTCTAGATATAAATGGATAGTGTTAAGCACTGTGGATAATTTTCATAATCCGATAAATTGCTGACAACAGTAATTCCCAGGTAGTACGCTTTCAAATAAAATCTAATACCTGCATTTAGTTTAACACTTGCATGTATGAGTACTAGGCTATATGTTATGAGCTAATAAATGCTCCATAATCTAAACATAGAACAGCGGAAATGAGAAAGTTATTGATGATGATTAACTATGGTTTCATATAGAAAATATTGAGGCTGATGAATGCATTTAGATATAGTAGGCGTAAAAACAACAACTGAACAATCAAGAATGATAAAATGCCATCCAAATAATCATGTTGTGTTATTAACTAAACTAATTTTATTACATTGCATTGGTTGGTTTTTTTAAATCTCAAGTGATTAATTAGAGTCCATTTCACTGATTCAGTTCGTCAGTAGAACGGCAAAAATAAGAAATTGGGAGACCATTGTGCAATAATATATGGAAAAGTATATTCATAATGTACATGAATGACATTTGTATATTTCAGATTTTTTAGTTTTTTGTGCAATAAGCCTGTGCCGTCTTGTAATTTGAAGAATTTCAGCCATGTTAATCTTATTGAAAATAACATGGCAGAGAAACATCCAAATATAAGAGGCCACACACTTTATAAGCCAAACTAGAAGCAATCCAAGATATACAAATGTCATTCATGTACATTATGAATATACTTTCCCATATATTATTGCACAATGTTCTCCCAATTTCTTATTTTTGCCGTTCTACTGACGAACTGAAGCAGTGAAATGGACTTTAAGTCAATAAGTATTAATACTTTACAAATGGCATAATTTAAGACCAAAATAAAATTCTGAGCTTCATTTTGTTGAGATAACATTTCTATTTTAATATAACGATAAATTTTAGTTTGCCTATTGTATGACCTTTTGTATGGATTAACTTTCAGATTTCAAGGTCAGAATTGGAGTAAATTGTAGTTATAAAGACTTAAGAGAAGATTTATGGGAGATTTATTTAAGATACTGCGGCTATATGCATCATTGAATTCCACTTGTTTGCGGTCATTGTTGTTGTTACTCAATGTACTTTTACAGATTTAATGCTTCATGCACTTTAGTAAGCAATGACTCAATTACAGTAGATGTCATTCTGTATGTAATTCAGATGCAATCAACTATACATTAATTCAATTCTATTTCCCTTTATATCTCAAGACTAATTTGAATTTTTACCAAAAAATTCAGAATACAGTGTATTGACTTTTTAATTTACTACAAAACATTGCCAATTTAGTAAATTTTGCTGACATCACAGCCAGAAATATATTGTTTAGAACCCAAGACTAGTGACCCCTCTATTCATTCCCACTGTTTGAAAATCTTAAGTGTTAAACTGATGTTTTTCAGTTTACTTTTTATGTCACCCAATACTTTATGAATTTATCCCTGGTGTAATATGTTTTACAATGTCTAAATGAGCTCATGATTTATTAAACCTAATTGTCAACAGTTGTAAATAAAATGAAATTAATTTCATAGGCGTATGGGAGTTTTGTTGGGTGAAAAGCAACTTTTGTTGGAAGTATTTCAAACAGGGTTATATTATCACAACTGTCGTCATTAGGACACCCTCCCTAACTACAGTTGCGCATATCTCATACCTTGACATCTCCCTTGTACATATGGAGAAGATGAAGAGCATACTCCTTGTTCACACCATTCCCAGGGACTGCTGCACAACAGGCAAAATCTTGGAAATATTGCACTGAAAAAGCAGACACACAATAATAATCAAATTGAATGCATCAAACAATATAGGTGCGAGTAAGGTTGTTGTTCTTGCCAGTGAGTTATTGTTTCAATATGTATGCTATGTTTGTTGTGTTATGTGATAACTGTATGTAATGTTAGCCTTTAGCATGCTTCCGGCGAGTGTATCCGCCCATGGGATATATCTACCCGAGTTTAAACTTTTAAAAACTTTACTTTTTCGCACCATTCTTATGATCCAATTAGATTGCACGATTTATTCAGTGCCTTACGTGACTTCCTGTTGACCCAGAAATGGTGAGCTTTCGAAAAATATTTCCCAATACAACAATTTAAACAGAATTTTAGTCGTTTTTAGTCGTACAAAATGGCAGGATGAAGATGACAGGTCATTACTGAAGATTCTTAATCCTTGAGGTGATTAATATTTCATGTATCATTCAATGGAATAATGCAACGAATTCCCAAATGGATGACATATTGAATAAAAAAAAAACATATTACCGTATTCTCTGTAATTAGCGCCCAGGGCGTTTAGAAAATTGAAAATACATTATTTAGACCATTCTAATAAGCGCCCATGTATGAAAGAAATCAGAAATCCCGAGGAATTTCATGTATGGCAATTTTTCTTGACAAGAATGCATTTTCTTCAACATATTTTTATAATAATATGACAAGTGCTGTTATTGGAGAGAATACGGTAAAGATCGCTTAGACAATATTGACAGTGGTTGAAGACCCGTCTATGTCTAATTTATTTCCGGCACGCCCACTTTGTCATTATCGCCGATTACCTTCAATATTTCCACTAGAGACTGCTGGATATCGATCTAAAGTTATACATTATTTCTAATTTGATGAGAGATCATCATTATTCGTGCAAAAGTCGTGTAAAAGTCGAGAAACATTAAAAAGAAACCAGAAAGTTCACGACCTTGACATGCGCAGAACATCTGCGCAGTAGCTTTTGAAATTTCTGAATGCCGATAAAGAACAATTCCTTCATTCATTATGGACTATTTGGAGACAATATTAGCATGGTATGGTGTGGGAAGCACCCATCGATAGATATGTATCGAGAGGATGCATAGAATTACAAAACGCGTCGTGTTTACAGCAGTTTTAGGGTAAGTACTCTATTATCGCCCTCTCCTGGATTTTGAGAAATATTTTTTTCCTGATATATTCTTCAATTCTTGTTGATTCCTCGATGTTTCTTGAACTTTGTGAAGCGGGGTGGGCGCTTATTAGAGAGTGGGCGGTAATTACAGAGAATACGGTATATATTCTCCAAAAACTCACAATAAATATATCACATTCACGACTCTGATCTTGAGTATTTTGCAAAACATCAATTTGTGAATTCAATTAACTTTTACATAAAGGGAATATTTGGATTTACAAATGATTTATTCATCCAATTTTTGGGCAATTTGAGACCCATCAACAAATTGTGGGAAATCAGTAAACAGGCCAATTTCACTGAAATCTGTGGTTTGGGAGAGATGGTGGTTTTTTATCAACTACATGTATAAGTTAGCATATGTTTTACTATATGTTTTGACCTCCATTTCTGTTCAAGGGACGAGTAAGAGATATCACATTAAAAGCTTACCATCTTCTTCTGGGATGTCCTCCACAGTCTTTGGGTCAAACACAATATCAGCCTTTTCCACACTCTTCATTACATCTCTACGCTCTTCTGTAACATACAGGGATGCACAATTGTTAAACACTTGCAAAACACAATCATACTTCACTCTCTATCACCTCCTATATTATGTAGCAGGTATGGTTTGATATGGGCCATAGCATGAGGGTGGGATTACATGAAGGATTGATGCAATACAAGATTTAACACACATTGTAGTGCTCAAGATTTCTCATAACTACATGTATTTCTTCAATAATATTCTGTATATATGAAGTGGTGTAGAGACCAGAAAAATGTTTATTTCATGCCCTTATCTTGGATGTAATCTCTGTCAAATCTTATCAAAATATCTGCAATATAACTACATCTCACCTATGAAGCTTGGAATCGCTGCTTGATAGTTGGGTCCGATGTTCACATGTCTGGAAAATGGAAAACAAATTGAATGGTTATGACTACAAATTGTAGACAAGGCATTAACATGACAAAATGTCACCCCTTGTTGCTCACAATATTATGAGTTCAATCTTAGTCAGATTTGAATTTCTTAGAACTTGTAGATGATTTTGAAAAAATAAATTGGTCAATTTGAAGCAAGTTGTAAATAGACCTTTTTTGACCCTGAGAAGGTCATTGAAGGTGGAATCTCAAATCTAATGTCAGATTTGAACTTCTGAGAACTTGTAGATGATTGTGAAACAATTGGTTAATTTGAAGCAAGATGAAAAAAACCTATTGACCTTGAGAATGTCATTGAAGGTCACATCTATAGTCAGATTTGAACTGTTGAGAACTTGAAGATGATTTTGAAAAAAAGATTTGAAGCGATTAGAAGCAAGTTGAAAAAATACCTCTTTGACCTTTTTATAGATGATTTTGAAAAAAGAAATTGATCAATTTGAAGCAAGTTGAAAAAATACCTTTTTGACCTTGAGAAGGTCATTGAAGGTCAAATCTCAAATCTTAAGTCAGATTTGAACTTCTGATAACTTGTAGATGATTTGAAAAAAGAAATTGGTCAATTTGAAGCAAGTTGAAAAAATACCTTTTTGACCTTTTTTGGTCATTAAAGGTCAAATCTTAAATATAAAGTCAGATTTGAACTTCTGGAAACATGTAGATGATTTTGAATAAAATAGAAGTCAGTCTAAACAGTATTTGTTAAGTTATTGGAAGTTGTAAAAATTTGTTACAGACGCCGATCACCAACTGCCGTCAAAAAAAACGGAGACCATAACAATATGGCACCACTTTTTGGTGGTGACATAAAAAAAGATAAAACAACAAATATTTATAAACACCAATAATAACCAAAGGAAACGGAAATCATAAATCAAGGTTGGATATTGTATACTGTTATTCAGATCATAAATGAAACATTCAACAGCTTGAAACATGCATATGATGCAGTGTATAAACAATGGTCTCAATGGAAGATGGGTGCAACTTCTACTGGTGTTGTAATTTACTGGTTTTGCAACGCATATCAAATGTACAATGAGCTTAAATCACAAGTGATGGTAGGCGACTATATGTTAAATAAACAGAGAAATTTAGGTCTCTGGGAAAAGATTAACTTGAGATTTAGGAATATATCACCTCGTTAATGGGAACTTCTAGCCAAACACCCCCATCTCTTCCGCAAAGGGAATTGCCTTTATTTGATTCCAATCAGTTATTTATAACTATAGTAATGGAATATCCTGCAATATTCATTGCATAAGAAGCCTAAATACCAATAAAATTCTACATCTATATCTATTTGTATCCTATTTGATTATAATTAAGTAATTATCGCACGGAAATAAGTTGTAACACTTCCCATTGAACTCTCTTATAAACCTAGAAAACCTCTTAAATGTCTAGGACATTCCTTGAAGAAGTTCTAGATCATGAATCCTTACAATACCTGTCCTTACAATACCTGACCAAAAAAGCTCGAATTTCAATTGTGATTATGTTAACCAAGTTACAGAGTGTTCTCACCAGTGATAGATTTTATCAAATGCTATATGATTGTGTATCCATGAAGACTTTAAACAAAGTTTGATAATCACTAAATTACCATGTGATGTCAAATAATAAAATTCAACAAAATACTATTAATAAATATCAAATCAAGTTCATTGTATGTTTGTGACATACACTAAACCTTAAAGCCATAACTTGATATATAATTTCTTGGTTTCTCAAAGAATTCAAAATGGCTGGCATGTACCTAAAACCTAATCAGTTTTTAAAGGACAACTGAAATAGGTTTTCTCAACTTGCAGCTACAAAAGTGCAGTTTTCTGCATTGTAATTCCAATATGGAGTTGTTGTGATAACCATTATAAAAGAAATGTTAAATAACTGTTAATGGTCATAATAATAACATAAATAAAATTAATTTCTGATGTCACAAAGGAGTAATATACAGGCAAATTATATTACGATCAATAATTGTCACAGCAAAGCGCTTGTATTCACAAAGATGATTTTGAAAATGCAACTTACGGTTGGATATCTGTCTCTGGAGGTTGGTCTATCTCTTCCTCAAGGATTTCCTTGTCCTCTATCTCTGTGACACTTGCGAGATTCCCACTTAGATTGAGGCCACTATTTGATTGGCTAATACTTCCACTCATATTGAGGCTATTAGAAAGGCTGCTTCGTCGACTTTGATTAAACCGTGGAGTCAATGACCCCGATGTTGGCGTCACTGGCTTCAAGCTCCAGAATAAACCAGATCCTGACCTAACTGGACTTAACATTGGAGGTGGGGTGTATGGTGGGGGTGTTGTATGAGTCTTCTTTTCTCCACCTTCCCATAACCGTGGTGACCTAAGTCGGCTCTGAAATCCACAATTGTTGACGTGAGGAGGGATGATCAGTGGCTCAGGTCGATGTTTCCGCTTATTTCTAGGGCTTGTTATAGAAGGGTGTGGGTTTCTGAAAAGATTAGCCTCCACTGCTGACATTGACTTTGAAAGGGGATCTTCGGAGCGACTTCCTGGGCGACTCCTAGGCTTAAGGAATTGGAAATCTCTTTCTATGCTTGTCCTGCGATGCATATGAGAATCACCGCTGTACTTTCTGGTCCGCTCTCGCCTCTCATGCACCTCTTGTTTATATGAAGTTTGATCTTGTTTACGCATCAGCAACATTTGTAAATTGCTAGGTGCGGTCAGTGCTCTTTTTGGACTAGTGAATTTATCAGCTTCTGCGCTGGCGTGTCTCTTACGTTCATTTTTCTCTATACCACGTGCTGTTTTCATTTCAGGCTTAATTGGCTGAAAGGAGGACCGGAGAGGATTGGCCAATTCTTCCTCATGATAATCATAGGCGCCACGGTGACCAGGATCATTGGAATCTTTGGCGGTATGTTGTTGATTGAGATTTTGTTCCCCAAGGTGGATATTCCTCGCTGGTGCATGACTGAAGAATGTGTTTGTAGTATTTGTAGCATCTGTAGGGTAGGGGTTAGTTAAGGGACTCTCCACCAACCCACCATGAAGTTTAGCAGGTGCACCATGTTGTGAATCACTATGTTCAGTTTTGATCATCAGACTAGAAGCAACTTTATTTAGAGGAACATTTGAAAAGGAGAAGGCACTTTCTGATTTCACTCCGACATCCATATTATTTGAGTTCTTATCCAGTGCACGATTCTTCAGACCATGCAGCATGTTCATTATTTTCACTGGGTCATGGTTCAGGGTATTTTCCATGGCTAAACCTGGACCCCCATATGAATCCATAAGAGATCTTTGATCAGAGATATCATGCCCCATCCCACCATTAAAGGTGTGAGCCATGCCTAGTGGGCCTGAGGGGTAATCTGCAGGAAGGCTGTGACTGGTGGGAGGTGTAAGGGAGGGAAGAATCTGGGGGTCTGATAATGCTGGAAGGTCCCCTGAGGTGACAGGAGGATCAGGGGAGCGAGACATGGAACTTCCCTTTGCCTGGGACAAAAAGGCATCCCTTAAAAGGGCAGCTTCTTCTGTCTTAGCAGATGAATCATTCAAACTAACTTCAGCATGATTGTCTGTGTTGATGTACCCACTTCCATTTGAGTAATATGCCTTTTCTGATTGGTCAGACTGTCTTTTCTCATCATGATGACGTTTAGGCAGGGGAGGGGGCATAAGAAGTGGCATTGGGGCAGGATTTTCTGGGCCATCTCTGTAATTATTGCCCATATTCTCATGATGCTCACTACCATGAGATCTCCCCTCTTCCATGATCTGCTGCATGGGTACACGGTGGTTCCCATTGTCTCTAGCTTGTTGGAGCTGGTGGCTTTCAGCTATATTAGTGTCACTGGGCTTGCGGTTGGACTGGGCATCATCCTCCTTATCATCACCTTTCTTTACAGGTATTATGTCCTAAAACAGGAAATTATATTACTTTTTTATTCACACAATGGAAATGTTGATGCTTGCAAGGGATATATATGACACGTATATAAAGATAGGACTTAGCATTAAAAGGAAATGAAACAAAGCAAACAAAAATTGTTAATTTACTTCCTCAATTCACTTCAAGTATGTCATTGATGATTCAATATGCTAATACACTGCAATAACACCAATGTGTTTGAGTTCAATTAGGGGATTGGATGCATTTAGGTCTCATGTAGAGAACACAATAATAATGATATTTAACAAAAACAAGAACAGAGACAAGTAAAGACAATGATCCTTTTTTATTTTCATGAAATGTGCCAGAAAGAAAAATATCCAACTTGCATGAAAATTCTATTGAAAAGCAATCATGCCTTTTACTTAAAAATATAAGTTAAAATGCATGCAAATATATTAAAAAGATCCTGTTTCTATAATTACTAATAATAAACACGGATAAAACATATGTATTTATGCACTTAAAAGTGAACCATGTATATTCAGTAATTTTAGATCTCTGATTACGTCATTGTGATGTTCTGCACATTGCCATATCTCGCATTTAAGCGTCATTGATAGAGTTTGTTGCTATGGTAATATCCTCCATTAGTAAATTAATTCCCCACACCTGAGGGAGCAAAGGGTTTGCGGTTTCATTCACATGTCTGCTTAATAAAATGGAGCTTGACGTAGGAGGTTGCATTCTGATCTACTTAAAAGATTTATTGCTAGAACTTATTGAAACAGGCTACTTGTCTTACATAAAAACATACACAGATAGATATCCATGAATAGCTTATTGCAATACTTGGAATTACTAATGACCTGCATTAAAATCAATAGACCTGATAACTGGGTTATTTATACATCTATTTCCATTGTTTCCCTATGTATTTTATTTGATAAATCAATCATATTTTCCTGCTACATATAACTTAGTGAAAAGATGATAGAACAAAGTGGATCACAGACTGACACTTCAAAGAGACTGTTTACACACATACTGAATACAGTTCATTTTTCAAGTTTATTTTGCTTTGAAAATGTGTTTGTTATCTTAATTTCCATTGGAGGTCATCCCGACATTGTACCAATAAAAAGGTTCATCACGAAGGTGGCACAATTTGTGATGTCATCATTTCAACTGGGAAAAAATATTTTATTTTCCAATTTTTTAGATATTCAAACTTTTTTGGGCAATTACTATTATTTGAATTCATTGCCAAGAGAATATTTATCAACAAATTGAAAAATTGCAAAATGAAATATTCATCTTTTCAAAACAAAAATATGTAATAGATTAATGATTTGATGTGGAAATTTCAGAAATATTTATACCTGTTTTGTAATTGGCAAGAGTTCAATGGAGGAAATTAACAATAAATATTTTGTATTATCTTACAACAAAATAAAGAAAACAACAGATGAATTCATTCACACTGTTCTCAGAATATCTGAGCTAATATCCTGTCTGAGAAAAACACCATAAAACATGCACTTGGTGTCAACTCTGGAATTTTAGTTTTGAATACAGCCCTGTGATATCTCCAATTCTTTCACTAACAAGGGGTAAGGGGGTTACCAGAGGGCAGAGATGTGATGCAAGACTTTCTGCAACCATTTCTTTAACATACCTTCTTGAAGTAGCCTCCATGAAGGCGCATGTGTCCATTGAGGGCAGGGACATTCTTGAAGCGTCTGTGGCATATACTACACTCTACAGGCTTTGGTGATAGATCACTGCAACAACAACAACACAAAACAACTTAAATCAAATAAAATATAAAATAAATATAAAAAAAACATTACTTTCCATATTGAACACCTTGCATGTGAACAAATCAAACATGCTTTTGTTGATGTTCCATTGACTGCATATAATGTACATTGAAAAGTTGATGTCGTCATAGATGATATCAAAATAGAAGATTTCTATGATCGCTGAATATTGATAAATGAGTGGGTGATTTCTTAGGCTCACAATGTGACCCAAAAACATCAATAAATGAACATTTTAAAATAGGAATGATTTTTAGACATTGTTCAATTGAGTCCCATGGGATGGAACAGTAAATAAAATAATATAAATCAAATATAGAAATTCCTGCATGAATATATATACTAAATAATAAACTACATGTATCTTCAAACTCTGATATATATGAGAATCAAATGAATCTAGTACTAGTTCAGAATCTGTGCCTCCTAAATCTCCAAGGTTCATATTGATCGCTTTAGTGTTTAAATTTTGATAAAGATAAAAATGTGACATATTATTAACACTATGATGTCATCCAATGATGCTTTTGAATGTATGAATACAAACAATTACAAATTAGCTTAGCTATCCATTAAATTAATAACTTTAAGTGCTCATAATATATTACTTCATAACATGTTCATGTATTATCAAACACATAATATTAAGATAGGTTACCCATTATATAATTATCATGCAGAGCATAACGTGATTTATTGAAAAAAACAAACAACTAAAACGATTTTACTGTTTGAACATTGAAGTGTATGTTTACTTACTCAAGCATGGGGTTATACCCAGGTATATTCCATACAGCTCTGGGTGCCTGGGACCTCAGTGGGCTGTTAGGTCCTCCAACTGCGGGACTGATGGGGCTTACTTGATTCAAGTACCCAGGAGATCTCTCACCACTGTATTGCCTCTGGGCTTGATACTTGGTCCCTGTCTGCCAGGAAGGACTACTGTCTCCCGCACTTTGAGCTTGGGCCTGGAACCCAGGGTCAAACTGAAAGTAGCTCCCCTGGGGTTGTGTTGTGTTTGGATTCCGATTGCTAGGGAAACTCATACCAGGAGGTACTGCTAAATGTGAGGACACTGTTGTCGTGCTTGGTGGGTCCATATTCTGGTGATGATTCTCATGATGTCTTCTTAAAGATCTCGCGTCACAATAACTTTTGTCACATCCTTCAAACTTGCACATAAAAGGCTTCTTGCTTCTGTGAGTCATCATGTGACCATTTCTATAAACAAAAACAAAAGATTTTTGCAAAAATGACCCATTTCTTTAAATAATTCCCTTCCAGGTAAATAGACTTTGGATGGCCTAGATGCTTACTAAATGTACAATCCAGGGGTAAGTCAGAAAGAAATTAATCAATTCAGTAACTCTGAGCCTAGATTTCTACATACAGTTTATTAAGGCATGCAAGTTGCACAGAACCTATTGATTTACCTTATCATGATACTCAATAATAACTATAATAATACATTCGATTGAAGTGGGCCTGATGATGATGATGACGACTATTAATTGGCAAAAAGAATACCTAAGGTGTTTTGTGTAATTAGTGTACTAAGTTTGTTTACTTGTTTTCTCACCATAAATGCAACCTGTAACATATCTCATCAAAATAATATGTTTTCCTCCAATAATAATTTCTTGCTTTTCTTATTTTTATTTCATGAATAGTTTATACAAGAGATCTGTAAGTTCTCTAAAGGTAGAATGTCATTGAAAGCCTGTTTTGGAAGATATCAAATTTTGGTGACCAAAATCACACTAAAAACAATGGACCATATGAGTTTTTCAAATGGGAAATAAAATGGAATATGTTGTTTTCATTACAATCACTTTTCAATGCCATTCCTCCTTTCGAAAGTTACTGACATAGTGCGGTAGAAAATTAACATTTTTAAGATATAATAGAGGTAAAGAGAAGTCTACTGAAAAAAGTATGGGGAAAGAAGCTACTTACAAGTGATCCTGTCTTTTAAAGGCTTTGGAGCATATAGGACAAACGTACTTGCGTTCGTCACTGTGCGTCAACTTATGTTTTGCTAAGGCACTCGAATTGTTGAACTGTTTACCACACGTCGGGCAGCTTACCCCAGGACGGCCTGGTGACCCAGATTTAGATGGACGACCCTTACCACGTGGTTTCTCAGGTAGCTGTAACTGTGTAGGGACTGATATACTTGGTGGCTCATCCTTCACAGGGCCTGGCACTGAAAGCACATAAAATAGACCATAAATACAAACCACATATATGCCATGTACCAATCAATCCTTTTATAATATTTTAAGTGTCTTCTTTTACTTCCATATCATCTATTAACCTTACAAAATCTACAAAATATGAGAATCACTTGAAATGATGTTGCAAACTCCTGCTCTAGTTATCTATTAACCTGGATGCGACTGAAAATCAAGGGATATAATAATTTGAGGCAGCCTGGAGATGCCCTTGGAAATTGGAATATCAATATTGATTAGTCAAGTTTACGGTTGTCTTCTCAATTAATCAACAACTAGGACAATCTTTCATGAAACTGTCTCATCATTTTAATGTTCAAGGTAACACTGGCATACATGCACATGTACATTCATTCAAGGTCTAAATATCTCATTAGAGTCAAGTGAATACAGCCATCAATATGTTGAGTTGACACTGAGTATACTGAGAGTCAGTCAAAACACAAGGTGACAGTTATAAAATATGTTAACCAATGTATTTTTTCATTTATAGCTTACTTTTGAGCAATCTGTTAGATGTAAATTTTCATCTTCCATAAGTTGTTGAAACAAATATATATGGGTATGCAGGTAGTAAAATATAGAATAGTTCATAGCTACAAGGAGAGATAGAAAAAGGTGTGGCAAATCATAAAAGCCTCTCCTTTATGAACTTAAGTGTTTTCTTAATTAGAAATTTGCTATTTCAAACTATCTATAATAATAACCAAAATAACCTAATTTCATTACTTGCTTAACAAGATTATAAAATTAATTTATACTTTGAAAATATTTTAAATTTGATTATACAAGCCTACCAGGGTCATTGCGGTTTCTCCATGACATTTAGGTTAACACTATGAATGATCACAGAGTTGAACGATAATTCACTCTAGTTCTATTTTTATATATTCTACTGACGTCAATCATTTCATGTAATTACACAGATCCATCCATTGTTTCTCGCTGCAAGTTTCAATACCTGTTTTTTAATAATGCATCTTTGCAGCTGTTCCATCTTCAAAGAATTATAGAAAACAGGTTATTGATTTGGTTTAGTTTTTTCATCTTCTGATACACATGGCTCCAGATTTCAAGCACAAGTACATAAACATTACGGGACAGAGTGGATTTGTGGGGGGATGAGATATTTAAAACTATGTTCAGAGTTTATTAAGCTGTGATGCCAGGAATCAAACAAGGCACAGACGTGAACAATATCGTATCAAGATTATTTCTACTCAAATCTGGGATATTACATAAACATTACGGGAGGGTGGATTTGTGGGGGGATGAGATCTTTAACACTATGTTCAGAGTTTATTAAGCTGTGATGCCAGGAATCATAAAATGATGAGAAAATTATCTAAATAAATCTGTTTTTATAATTTTCATATGCACTGTACTTTTTTAACAGTGACTCACCTTCACAAATGCATATTGCAGGGAATGGTCATGAATTGTACTATATGGTCATTTTAATAAAAGGTACTAGTCTATTTAAATGCATCAAACTTATTCAGACTATTCATAATGATAATGCCATATAAAACTTCAATAAAATAAGATGCCATTTATAATTTTTACATCCTCCCATGTGAGTATTATACAAATAGTGACTGCCATTGAGGGTAATAGTGTAAATTATTTCCCCGAGGGAATATCCTCTACAATGTACTATTCCCGAAGCCGCAGGCTGAGGGAATAGTACATTGTAGAGGATATTCCCAAGGGGAAATCATTTACACTATTGCTCGAAATTAGGCAGTCACTATTTGTTTTATTATATACCCTATACTGACTCTTGTCCCATTTCCTCTGCGAAGGCCAAAAAGGCTTAGAAAGCCCCCTCCCCGGGTGCCGGGTCCATTGTTAGCATTATAAGCTGTGACGTCATCAGATGCTCAACAGAAATTTTTGCCTCTGAGACTCTCACTTGACAAATTCAATCGCGTTTAACACGCGGAATAGATTATCATAACACTTGAAATTACACAGACGTATTGAGCTTAGGGAACTTTATACACGTTGCTTATATTGTATCGTTCACGCACGTCTGTCATGGTGAACGGAGTTGATTTGTGTTTGTGCTCATCCTCCATTTTTCTGTTTTTCGTCTGCGCAGTGATGATGCGCAGACGTTTCCAAGGGTAATAGAAGTTGCAATTGTGACGTCAGCGGGCAATAGTTCAAATGTATATTCCCGCTGACGTCACATTTGAGGGAATATAACTTTCCGAGGGAAATAGTAAATCTATTTCGGAACACGTGACTAGGTATTGACCAATCAGGATTAGTGTTACATATTGGGTATATAATAAAGCATGATGGTGCATTTTTTTAATCTAATTTACTTGAATTATAGACAAAGATAATTAGAACCATTCAACCTTGAGCAGTTTCCGAGTAATCTAAAATACTTCTCGAATTAAATATGTACCAAAATATGTACCACAATAGGCTAGAATATGCACAATTCTTTGGGTTGTATCACCATAAATTATTGCACTTATCCCTTGTTTGTAGAGAATTATTCTTTAAATATTTTTTAGCTGTTTCAAAGGGAAATATGATATATCAAAGATACTTGCTATTTAATGGAGTTCTGCATCAGGATTTTAATAATTAACAGACCAAGTTAAATATTAGGAGAAAATTGATGTGTTAAATACGTGAGTTAGATACAACTGGGTATGCACAATAATTCATTCAGATAAAGAAAGAATTTAAAGTATGAAGGTCAAATTTTTTTTAGAACAAGAATTCTACAAATTTTCCCCATGGCATTCTTCAGGATACTTTCTGCCCAACAACCACCCAAAATTGCAATAAAAAAGACAAATTATCAAATATTTTCTTAACTAAGACCAATCTTTATAGAGTTCCCAGAAAATAGTGTTGTTACGTAATACAGTGAGGTAGAATAGAGTCTGAGGGTCTGTGCCTCAAACTGAGAAGTCATTTATATAAATTCTGAACTTTTGCCCTTCAGACTTCTGAGATTCTACATGCCTATTCCCAGTCCTCATTGAGCTGAGAGGCCAGGCTATTTCCTCTACTTCATTCCAGGCCATGAATCCAGGCATACTGTCCTAATTACCAAGCTAAATGGGATTATGGTCAATGTACCAAGGAGAAAATTATAAAAATCATCAGTTAGGATTAATGAGAGAATCTAGTCTTATAATGAGTCTTCCTTTATCTCTAAACATAGCTCAGCCCTCATGACACCCTATACAGGTGTGTATGTATGTATGTTATGACAGGGGGAAGATATGAGCTTCATTCATGAATGTATGAGACATTTCAATGAAATGGTTCAAATCTCTTACATATTCTACTAAATTAATGACAACCATAACCCCCTCTCTAGCAAGCAGGAATAAACTCTATGTTTTAATAGATAATTACCATCTTCAATAAGGTTAATGAGTACAAGCAGTTAAGCTTAATTAATATAAAGATTATACTGTGTTACCCCTTTAAAAGAGATAACATATTCCTTAAATTAAAAATATTGTTTTGTAGACTGTCATTTATTTCACATTCTAAGTTCTTTGAAAGGCTAACAAGTTGCATTTGAGACGATAAAGATCCATTAAGCATCAAAAATGTAACAGTTATCAGTAATAGACAGAGGACAGTATAGTTAGCCAATGGGGATTGAAATCATCCTAGGACTATGTTAGTAATATATACGTATATACATCTTATATATAGAGATTATGATTATTCAGGATATTGGGATTACCCCAAGGCCAATATAGTATATCTGCCTGATGGCCGTAGGTCCTGGGGGTAGATATATCATATTGGCCAAGGGATAATCCCAATATCCTGAACCAACTATAGGATGATCTGTTTATCCCATACCAATCTTTGTCATCTGGTTAACATTGTTCAATTGGCCAAAGTTTAGAAAATTTCCAACCAACCGTGGAATCATTTTAGAATATTCATGTCCAGTTTTGTTTTCTTGGCCGTGGCCGGATTTTCCTGTTGTTTCATATACTCATCCACATTTATTTTCTCAAAATATGAATCTTTGATTATAAACAGGGATACATATGCTACTTCCCTTTTATAAACCATCAAACAAATCGCGATTGTCTGCGTTTTTCTCCATTGTCGTTTACAGTAATAATGAATAATTATTACTGCAAACGTTACAAAAATGTACCAATATGCAAACGGCATTACTGACGTACCAGGCATATATACTTTTTTCTGCAAGCTCGGAACGGGATGTAAAGCTATATCTGCCCACTGATGAAAATATAAGTTTTTACAAACTTGCTTTATGAACCTGTAACACGTCCAAGTATGGGATAAATATATATATCTTTTATTTTATTGACTCGATATAGTCAAATACCGGAACTAATAAATGAAATCAAAAGTGAGCATAACAATAATAATTTCTTCTCATATTTCATTTAATTACTAAGTTGTTAATGATCAAGGGCTTCATTAATAGCTACAGGATGCACTTTTTTCTGTTATTTTCACTACTGACTCTTGTTTTGATAATTTTGTTAATACAGTAAAGCCTGTCTAATGTGAACATTCCTTCAGACCAGGCAAGTGTTCAGATTATAACATTCTGTTCACACTAAGAGGTGTTCAGATGTGAGAGGCGTTTGAATATACAGGTTTCACTGTACATCAAATGACAGTGTGACATTAGGATTTTGGACCTTCCTGTCAAAACTGTATTATTATTTTTTATTTTTTATTTTATTTATATAGTTACAGTTTAATATGTTTTGTTAAGTAATCTTGATTCTTTTTATATCAATCTTAGATTATGAAATACATGTAGTAATTGTAGTTGCTAAAAATATATTCATACGCAGATATTCTTGTATATGAACTTAAGAAATTATTAATCAAACTGAATTTTACTTCCTGTTTCATAAACGTAAACAATTTTCATCTAAAGGAACTGATACAACACAAAAAGAAATCTATGAATTTACCCTGACTATCGGAG